ATTCATAAATTATAATCCGAAAATACTTTATATCTGGTATATCTAGTGTTATGAATGAGCATTCTGAAGTGGATATGAAAAAAATCTTAATCATATTCAAGAGAGAGTTAATAGATCTCTATATTGGCTTCTGTAAGATATTCACATTATATACATACATACATATATTCAAATATTCACATTAAAGACTTATTTTTCTGATTTGTCACGACTCTTAAGGTCTATGGCTCTGTAATTTATAGTCAAGTCCTTCAAATTTGTATAACACTCTATACGTATTTGATTTTGAATCTCAGAAGTAATATAAATAACATGAACATGAATTTAAGTACGTAATATCCTTTAAATTTAAGAAAACAGAATTTGATCTTGAATAGAAAGCTTTTGCATTGAGATATACATATATACATATATAAGATATTATGCAATAATGTTCATCTGGCGCGATGGAATTGTGTTACCAAAACTGAAGTTTTCTGAAGGAAAGGTGAAGCCTGAAAGACCAGGTGAGCTCAACGACAGCTATATTAATGCGGTGCAGGTGGGGGAGCTAAAGGAAATCTGAGCAAATCGAATCTTTTAAAAGTCATTCCGTAATTGTCGAATGGAATTGAGCATTACCTTGTAATTGGCTCAGATCTAAGTTTTTTAATAAAATATGGAACGCATATGATTTCAGGTACAGACTGTGTGTGGTGTGCGCTTAGCTGTGGTCTGACAGGCTCCGAGATACCTTGTAACCAGAAATGTCATGACGCACATCCTATTCAGGCATAGCTCGAGCTGTCCTTTACAACATCCTACACACTCACACGAGTGAGCAGTCACACAAGCACACACGCACACACACACACATACATGCATATAAGCACCCACACAAGCACGCACAGTGCAAACTGCGTAATTTATTTTTGTGGCTGCTTCTGTTCCCTCCCGCCAGCTTCTTTTCCATTGCCTTTACTCTCCTTTTGGGAAATGGGAAAATGTGTTATTGAATAACTTCGGTGTTTACTGTTCGATATCAACGAGAAATTCCACGTCAATAATATAAAATGGAATGTGAATAAATACCAAGCCGAAAGGCTGAATCTTTAATAATGAATACTTCGATTCATTCGCTGGAAATCAAAAGCTGAGAACAGGTTAAAGAGCTACAATCCAAAAATCGGTTCGCTTAAGAACACACGAAGGATTTTGAAATAAACTAACAATATGTAACAAAAATTCAAACAAATATTATTTTCCAATTTGCCACGTCCCAGGAGATATATTGGGATATATAATGGATAGAAAAGCATACAGAACGTATATTGCTTACGTTCTCAAGATAAATCCAGATATAAATATATATATATGTAGCTGTACTAGTCTTGCATATACATATGTATGTACATACTTAACTTATAAGTTAAATATCAAATTACAGCTGGGATCTACCAAAATTTAGTTAAATTACTGAAGATATCTCCAGCTATTTATCATAATATCAGATTTGATCTATTATCTTGAGCTAAATTGGATCATTGAAATAATATGTTAATCCTTTGTTTAACTTCTCGAGCTGCTAAGCGAATCTAGAAGAGATTTGTTAGATTTTTACCGATATCTTGACGTTTATTGATTTGGCGCTGGCAATGAGCAGAAAGTCCTCGATGGTGCCCGAACAGGTGGGCACTTAGCTCATTATGTCTCATTTAATAGTTACGTGTAGAATTTTGAAGTAGATGCCTTGCACAAATTGCTCTGCAATCGCAGTGCAGCATATAGAACTCTGGGATTGGATGGCTGGGGTGGATGGGGTGGGCCTGCGACTTGCAGTTCCGGCTCTCAGCGCTGGCCAAGCTCGGGTCCGTGTCTGGGTCTGGGTGCGGGTGCGGGTACGGGTGCGGGTGCGGGTGCGTGTCCGAGTCCAGGTGCCTGGACATTTTTATAAATAGTTAAGCGCACGCGAGCTGCGCGCGAACCCCGAGCGAAAGTAGCGAAAGGAAATCCCCAGGACAATGCAGCCAAACGAAGCGGCTTAGTGTTTGTGTGTGCGTGTATGTGTGTGGGTGAGCGCAGCGCCGTCGGCGTCGTTGCTTGCGTCATGTCTGCCGAGGCGTCGCACCGTTGACAATTTGCTGCTTTCATTGCACAATTTAACATTTGTTGTTGTTGCTGTTGTCGTTGTTGTTGTGTTTTTATTGCCATTCCTCATCCCCCTCCCCATCCTCTCTCCCTCCCTCTCAGACTACCATTATTTCTCTCTGTGCATGGCTTGCTTGCTCACTCACTCGTGCGCTTGGAGAGCGCATGTTGCGGCAACAAATTGTTGCACAGTCAGCAACGACGCCAACGCAGGCGCTGACGTTGACGCTGACGTTGACGCTGACGTTTCGCTGTTTTCATTCACATTTCGTATCGCGGCAAATACGTGGCGTTCTCTCGCTGGCCTCACTCCCTCTCTGTCGTTTGCTTTCGCTCTCTCTTTCTCTGTATCCCCCTCTATCTCTCTCTCTCTCTCTCTCTCTCTCTCTGTCTCTCTCTTTCAGCCTACTCCACATCTTTGCCGTCGTTCACATTCTGTGCCCTCTGTTGCGTACGCACGTTGCACATTGTTGTTATTGTTGCCGATTCAGCTGTCTGTGTGTGCATGTGTGTGTGTGTGTGCTATTTGTCGTCTTCTTGAAGCTATTTTCCGGTTTTACAGTTCTCTTTTTGCGTTGCTTTTATTATGGCTCTCCCACTTGTCGCACGCCCCGCTTGTCATATCAATGTCATTACAGTTTCGATGGCGACATTCGCTTCAGTTTTCCCGTTCGTCCTGACCGGCAGCCATGACTTGCACTCTGCGCACCTGCGCCGTGTTTTTGCGACGCATTTTCTTAGCTACTGCTTCACACTGTCATTCGCCAGCCGAAAAAGCGCTCTCCATCCATCCACTTGGCTCGCTCTCGATAGACGCACGTTTGTTATTGTTTTCGTACCATGCTCCTTACTCACCCGGTTTTTCGACAGGCTCACGCTCTCTTGCTCTCGCTCTTCGTTTGGCTCTTCCTACCCGACGCTCTCTGAGTGTCAATAATAAACCGTTTCCTCTCGCCTTCTGCTGACTTTTTGTGTTTATGTTTGTTGTTGATTGCCTCACAATAAACTCCACTCGGGCTTTTACATATGTAGTATGTATACATGCATGTGTGTGTGTGTAAAGCGCTCTCTGCAACGCTGCATCTACTGCTGTCGCGACGCGTCGCTGCTGCTGCTGCTGGCGCTGCCTCTGTTGCTCCTTCTGCTGCTGCTCAAGCTTTGACGCTTGATATCTGATAATTGCGCATTGCTTTTGCCTTTGCCTTTACGTTCGCTTTTGCTCCTGCTTTTAAATTTGCCATTGCCGTTGCCTTTGCTTTCTTTTGCTTGTGCTTCCGCTTGTCCTTCTGGGTTTCTCATCGACACGTTGAACTTTTAGCAATTTGCCAAAAATTTGTCTCGCATCTATGGCTTCATTTTCCGCAGAAGCCGCAGACGAATTTATTGAGTAGGAAGAAATACACGGCACAGATTTATATACATACATATTAATATTACGTATGGCAAGCACTTTATTTTAAAATCGATATTTATCGATATTTATCTATAGATGTATCATCTATATCGTATCCATGAGAACTGTGCATGTGAAAGTCTGACCTCTACCAATCGTCATCCTAACAGCCCTTTGCTCAGTCTTAATCTTGGTGTAATCCTGGACTGAAATCTTATATTTTGTAGACATGTCCCATTGGAAAAGCCTGGCTAAAATGTATTGGTTAGCATCGAACCGCCTTTGAGCAACGAGATCTAGACGCTTCAACTGGACCGTGTCTTAACTTAAAAATAAACAAATATCGCCTAGAGCTTTACTTTAAGTACAGCTTATTCGTCATACTTTTAATCAAACTAATTTCCATTTCGACTAAGTTGTCTATAAGTGAGTATGCAGCACGCAAAAACAGTTATCAGTTTAGAATATCAAATGTCAATCAATGGGCAGCACTACAGATGGTAATCAATGGCTGCAGAGCTACGCAACGTGGAGTCTATTTTCAATTTGCCACAGCTTCCGCTACTAATCTGGGGGATTTTCATTTTGGCCACGAGCAGTGTCCTTCCTGATGAGCACGTGATGAGAAAGGGATCAAGTTAAGGTTCACATGAATTGCATAGGGTTGCCAATTTGGTTGTTGTCGTTGTTGTTTCCTATGTTGCTGTTATTGTTCTGGTGTTCAAGTGTTGCTCCTGTTGTTGTTGTTGTAGTTGTATAACATGCTATTGCTGTCTCTTTTGCTGTTATGTTTCTTGTCTTTGTTATTGTTGTTCTTCTACATAGTTCTTGTTGTTGCTGATGTCCGAAACACCTGTTGGTGCTACTGTCTGACATTTTGTTACTATGGTTGTTATAATAGTTGTAGTTGTTGTTTGACATGTTTATAGTTGTCAAACATGTTGTCGTGGTCGCTGGTGGTGTTGTTGTTGTTGTTGTTTAGACGTTGTGGTAGATGCAGAATCCTTAAAGTGGTATATTCTAATTCGTCGTGCTCTCGACTTATCCGAATCGATCCCCAGGGTTCCTTGATCTGGCTCACTTTATTCACTGTGATGAGCTTATTAAACGGGTGTACGATATTCACCAATGAATATGGAACAATTGGGTAAACAGACCTCAATAACAAAAAAATATATAAATAGATTTCATTTCATTTTGCTTTTTGAGCTACTCCATGGCTCCTGACTCGACTCAAGTTCCGTATGCTTCTGTTGTCCACACCTCGTTCACCCTACATAAGCAGATCCTCGCTGGGAACAAGAAGAAGAGGCGAGAAAAGTCAAAAATAATCCTCTTTTTATCAAGTATTTCGGACAACTATGTCATTTCGTTCAGGAAATCAATCGTTAGTCTTCTTCATACTTCTATCTACATACGGAAGATTATCTTAGTCATCATTTCAACTACATGTCCTATGTACAGTAAAAAACCCTTCACGTCAATGCAACAAAATATGTATATAATTTAAAGTAGATAAAAAAAAATTAACAATCGTCAAACAATTAATCAACGAATCCAAATGTAAATCCATTCACAGCATTCAAATGGTAGTAGCCAACGGTCGGTGTTATCGGTCATAATAATGGGTCAATCTCCGCCCTAGGACAAGAGGAAAAGAGACTGGCCACAGACGCACTTCCTGATCTTGCGCTCCAGACTCTTGAGCTGTGACAGCAGGTTGATGCAGAGCTGTCCTCTGGGCGGGCAGCCCAGGCAGGGCCGACCGCCGGGTCCGCATGGCCTGCATGGCCACCATGGCTTAGGATGGCATGGCTTCCTTGTGGTTGTTCTCCTTGTTGTGGTTGTTGTTGTTGTTGGTGTTGTAGTAGTCGTTGTTGTTGTCGTAGTAGTCGTTGTCGTAGTAGTCGTTGTCGTAGTTGTTGTTGTTGTCGTAGTAGTTGTAGTAGTCGTTGTTGTTGTTGTCGTAGTAGTTGTTGTAGTAGTCGTTGTTGTTGTTGTCGTAGTAGTTGTAGTAGTCGTCGTTGTCGTTGTTGTAGTGGTAGTGGTAGTAGTTGTTGTTGTAGTAGTTGTCGTTGTCGTTGTTGTAGTTGTAGTTGTTGTTGTAGTTGTTGTTGTTGTTGTTGTGGTAGTAGTAGTCGTTGTTGTTGTTGTTGTTGTGGTAGTTGTCGTCGTTGTCGTGGTTGTTGTTGTGGTAGTTGTTGTTGTTGTCGTTGTTGGACACGTCGTTGTTGTTGTTGTCGTCGTTGGGCACGTGGGTGTTGTTGTTGTGCACGGTGGAGTTGTTGTGCACGGTGGAGTTGTTGTCGGTTTTGTTCTCCTTGTCGTGCACGTTGTAGTTGTTGGTGGCTTGGTAGTTAAGGGGCAGCCGCAGCTAGCTGAGCTCAAACTAGCACAGCAGAGCACCACAAGGCACGCTGAAGGGAAAAAAAAATTAAAAATAAAAAAAAATCAATCCCAATCCTTAATGGTTATATGATACGAATTTACCAATCAGAGAGGCAAGAACGAAATTCATATCGAAGTATTGCTTAGACAGCCTTCACACCGAACAGAAGTGAAAGCGGATACTGATGCCTTTACCGAGCCGAACCTCCCATTTTATAGGGTTCGTCCGGCTGCCGTTGCATTTTAATTTTAGCACAGAACAATTGCGCAAATACACGCAACTAAATTCATCCGCAAATATTTGCAAAGCCAGTTTCTGGCAAGCTGCACGTTAAATATAGAAAGCCGAATTCACAATTTTTCGAATATCCCATGCCGACTAAGTCAAACTGATATAATTAAAAACTAATGGCGAAAAAGAAAACAAACTGATTTAAATAATAATATAAAACCGATTGTAAGAATATCATCGATGAGGGAACGATTGTCGATCGCACTTTACGGACTTAGCCCATCGTCCGTAGGCCCTTAAGGCTGTCAGTCCTTGCAAACGCAATTTCTAAGGGATTTTCCATACTTCTATTACTTCCATTAAAAATACTCCAATTCATTCATATATCAAATATTATCTTGCATACATCATATTTTAGTTATTTGAAAATTTTCCTCATGAATTCCCATCAAAAAAAGACTATTTTATATACTTTATATTATATATTTTATACGAAAGACTATTACTTAATGTTTTTACACATAGAAACCTGGGATCGTGTAGATCATTTACGTCTTCAAATAGATTTGTAAATATCGAACATTCAACAGCATACGTTTGCAAAAATACCAGAGACATCTATTACGCCCATCCCAGGCTTTACAATTAATAAATCTTATTTTTTGAATACATATTGAATACTAAACATTTTTAAAATAATATTTACAGCATGTCTAAGATATTTTTCTCTTTAGTATATTTAGAAAATATATTTAAAAAAAAAAAAAAAAAAAAAAAAAACAACTTTAATAAATGGACTTTTGTAATCAAACTTTCAGTATGTGATAATAGCCTATATACATATACATATATGTACATACATATGTGATGAAATCCAAAATATACCAATAATCAATATTGTATAAACCACACAAGAATAAACAAAAAATGGCAAAGTTTAGTTGATAATATTAGAAAGAATATAACAAAAAATGATACTCAAAATCTACGCCCTCATACCTACGATTAATTATTATATTATTATTAGTACTCATTTTGAGAGGTTTCGGAGTATTTAAAGTGTATCCTCTTAATTTGTACCGCCTGATCTTCACTGTCATAAAAATAACGTAATCCGTTCAAATTTGATCTGCCTTAATATATTTTTATATTCTTAGAGCTATTGTCCTAGTTCATTATTTCTAGTACTGTGCATGATATTCCGTTCTCTTCTCTGTATAGATAATCATTAGACAGATCTATCACTCTTATAAGTGATAATGAAGTTTCTTTCATCAGAATTCGTAATATTGTAGAAAATATATATTTGTTCTATCTCTGATAGTCTATAGAATAATATGTCCGGTCCAGTTAGTGTGAAATCAAACTAAGCTGTAATCTTGGATTTCTCCTTCAACATTATTATACATCCCCTGTGGCATACACCAAATTTGATAGCTCTGATTGCCAAGTTGAGTGAAATAAATATTCACAAATACATATGTACATATATGTACATATGTGTGGCTTTGGGTGTGTGGCATATCGCAAAAATCTATTCAAAATTTACAATTTACTTATTATTATGGCCTTATGAATAATTTTAGTTATTCAAATTCAGTAATTAATACAAAAGGAAATTTAGGGCATAAGCATTTCTCTATCTCTATCAAATAGAATATTTTTAGATACATTTTTCGTTTATTAAAAATCATTTCCCAACATAGGGTTGATATCTTTAAAGAATAATACCAGAGCAACAAAATAAAATCTGAATGACTTTCAAAGATTTCTGTCCTATAAATATTCTATACCATGTTTCCTCCTCATCCCTAATGGATTACAATAGTTTTCAAGGATGAGACCTACTAGTTGTTGTTTGAACTTGCATTTGCTGGTATTGTAAACCTTCTTCCAATAGATATATGTACATGTACATATGTATGTAGCATTATATATAATTATTTTCTATTTTTCTATAAATATGAATAACTGCAGTGTTAAACGAATTTTCATCAATGTTTATCGAAGGAATGGAAGACCAATCCGTATCATATTGTCTTTCCATCTGACACTACCTGAAGTAGTCGTCCATCAATTGATTTTAGTGCTAGACCGATAGACTTAGTCATCAGTCCATCAATATAACAAAAGTAATTGTGTCTAAGTGTTGGATAGGAATTCAAAAGGACAATTGATAGACTTGGGATATATCGATAATATGTCAATCTATAATTAACAAGAAATGAAATACAACAATGTCAAATATTGTAAACAAAACATATATTTTATTAAATTCAAAATTCAAACAAAATGGAAAAATAGTCAACAAATGTCAATGATAATAGCTAAAGGGGGAAAGGTATCTTGCTTTGTCATTACGATAAGGATCTCTTGTCCAAGTCATCTAGTCACAACGGTGGCTGCAGACGCAACTCTTTAACGTGTACTCCAGCTCTCTGATTTGGGCCAGAAGCTCGGAGCATAGCCATTGCTTGGGCGGGCATCCGAGGCAGGGCACGCCGCCTGGTCCACAGGGACGGCACGGATTCCAGGGCCAATGTGGCTTTGTGGGGCGTTCTGTTGTTGTTGTTGTTGTGGTTGTTGTCGTTGTTGTTGTTGTTGTCGTTGTTGTCGTTGTTGTCGTTGGTGTTGTTGTTGTTGTTGTTGTTGTCGTTGTTGTTGTTGTCGTTGTTGTCGTTGTCGTTGTCGTTGTTGTCGTTGTTGTCGTTGTTGTTGTCGTTGTCGTTGTTGTCGTTGTTGTCGTTGTTGTCGTTGTTGTCGTTGTTGTCGTTGTTGTTGTCGTTGTTGTTGTCGTGGTTGTTGTCGTGGTTGTTGTTGTTGTTGTTGTTGTGGTTGGTGTTGTCGTTGGTGTTGTTGTTGTCGTTGTTGTTGTGGTCGTTGTTGTTGTGGTCGTTGTTGTTGGTGTTGTTGTTGTTGTTGTGGTCGTTGGTGTCGTTGTTGTTGTTGTGGTCGTTGTTGTTGTCGTTGGGGTTGTTGTTGATCGTGTGGTTTTCGTTCGACACATTGTTGTGGTCGTTGTCGTTCTTGGTCTACATGTTGTCGTCTTCTTCGTCCTTTTTGTTGTCGTCCTCTTAGGTTTACATGTTGTCGTCCTTGGTTTACATGTTGTCGTCTTCTTCGTCTTTCTTGTTGTCGTCCTCTTAGGTTTACATGTTGTCGTCTTCTTCGTCCTTCTTGTTGTCGTCCTCTTAGGTTTACATATTGTCGTCTTCTTCGTCCTGCACGTTGTCGTCCTCTTAGGTTTACATGTTGTCGTCTTTTTCGTCCTGCATGTTGTCTTCTTTGGCTTTCTTTTCGTTACCTTGATTGGCCTTCGTGTCGTGGGCTTCTTTGGCTTTCTTTTCGTTACCTTGATTGGCCTTCGTGTCGTGGGCTTCTTTGGCTTTTTTTTCGTTACCTTGATTGGCCTTCGTGTCGCGGGCTTCCTTGTTTTTATCGCTGGTTTCTTGGCGCCACGACTTGCAACGACTGGTGGGCGGGGGGGAGCCGCAATGGGCCGGCCTGCATCCTTCCCTGGAGGTGGCTTCTTGGCCAGAGGCGGTTTCTTAGTAGCTGCCTCACGTTGGAGCTCGGCTGACGAGAGATCCACAATGCAGAGAAGCACCGCGATCGCTGAGGGAGTTGAGTGTTTAGCAATTAGCGGATCTTGGGATCTTGGCTATATATGTATATGAGATTACCTATAAGACAACCCACTAATAGTTTCATGGTTGCCTCTACCCCTTCACTGGGCGCGAAAACAAAAACTGCTTTTCGCAGGGGCCCACTTGCATGTTATATAGGGCCCGACGCACTAAAGAGGTTGTGCACGCGCGCAAACAACCCCAACTGAGCAAATAAATAATATTATAAATAAAAGTATATTGTAACTTAATTTTTAAGTAAATTGAACGCAGTCAAGTTCACCTATTGGTTAAATATAGTCCGTGCTCAAGAATTCCTTATGTCAATATCAATATCGGTATCTCATATATCATTAAGATCCTCACCTCAGGCAGACATATGTACATACCTAGATAATGGCGGTAGATCGATTCTATCCTTATTATCTAGATATTTATAAGGAAGGTCTTAGGAGTTCTTGCATCTTTATAGGGTTGTATACATATACATATGCATATGCATATACATATACATATACATATACATATACATATACATATACATATAC